GTACAAATGGGACAGAACAAACTTGTGCTTGAAAAAAATGTGAATGTTACAGAAAGAGAATCAGACAGATCCATCCATCTCTGTGCAAGAAGGGCTTTTGAACTTTGCTGTGTATTTCCTTAACAGCATGACTACTAGCATTCAAAATAGCAATTACACACAGTGGATGACCAGTTTCAGTCCATTCAGCTGTAAATGAGGGCCAGATGTGGGAGGTTGAAAGTCAAAGGCACTTGCCACTGCATATTGTCAAATGCAGACTATAGGACTACAGATCTGGTTTTATAGGTTGCATAGATGTTATATAATAGTACATGTTAAGGTGAGCACATTGAAATGCTATCTAATGAAAGCAACATATCAAGTCTTCTAGCTTTCAGTTAACAGAACTTCCCATAGAACAACATCACAGGGCAGTTGTTAAACCTGTTAATCTTTCCTCTAGTTTTTTTCCATATTATCCATTGGATTGAGATACCCCAATCTTGAAGATGACTAAATACAACAAATGGCCCTTGCATTGAAATTTTATTCTGGTATGACTGTGTCTATGCACTCCTCCCATACTATTAAATTTGCTGTTGCCACACTGCAAAATGAATGCAGTTTTACACCACTTTAACTGTAATGGCTCTATCCTATAGAAGCTTGTGATTTGAAGTTTGTTGTGGCACCAGAGATTTCTGACAGAAAAGACTAAATATCTCACAAAACTACAAATCCCAGAATTCCATAGCATTGAGCCATGGTAGTTAAAACCATGTCAAACTGCATTAATTCTGTGGTATAGATGCAGCCAGAATCAAGGAGGCACTTCACTTCTCCAGTGGTCTTCAGAGAATGGGACCTGAAATTGGAGAACTTGTTTGGGATGGGGTAAGTCCTACAGAATTCATATTCTGTCTCACATAATTCAAACAGGGCCACTGGGAATCAAACGTGTGCATGCGATCATCTAACCATTTTCAAAATGCTGCATGTACCATTATTGCATCTGCCTGTTTCCATGTATATAACACTCTCCAGGACTTCTAGGCCTCATGGGGACAAATGTTTGATGTTCAAATAACTACTCTGAAGTTGTATAGATCTATAGAACAGAAAACCATTTGTACATCAGAATGTGAAGAAGGTCACTGTAGCAATAGTATCTATGTGGCCTCCAGTATCCTGAGCTTTATCTAATGTCTGATACAAGAAAATAAATCACTTTGCTTTATATTAAATGCAAAAGGAACTAATGGAGTGTAGACAAATGAGTCAAATGTGACAGCCATCCAGTCTTGTAGCATGTCCCATAAAGGTTTTGAAATTTCAGCTTCAAATACGGTATGTTTTTGCAGCTCAAAAAAGATTGTTGAATTAGGAAGCAAGTTCACAAGATTGAAGATGAAAGAATCAATCTGATTGAATAATGTATGCAAGTATGTAAGGTAAATTTGAATGAATGTATTGTTTTTAGTGATGTATTTTGTTTTAATATTTTTTTAAAAAAAAGCATCCTCCTTTTTTGGGGGATGTGACAGGTATTCTAAATTACTATATGGCACCTCATTATCAAACTACTAAAATGTCAAAAATCAGTATATACTAACAATGTTGATCTCAGCTAAGGCAGGCAGTGCTAAGACACCCAAATATATAGTCATGTGGCAGCTGAGGAATTAGATATATATTTTTAAAAAGTACACACCTGCATTAGAAGCATGTTAAAGAGAACAGAGGTTGTGCCATTAACTAGGTACACATAGGTTATATATTATGTTATAATGTTCCTCGGGCACGTGCCAGTGAGTTTTAATTGATGGATTTTGTCTTAACTGTACTTGTATACTTGTGTATGAATGTGGAGAAGTTATACATTTCTCATTGTCCATGAAGCATGTGTTTCAAGTCTACATGTTATTTTTTTAAAAGATGTTTTTTAAAAGTAGTCAGGTATATAACATGTCTCCCCTTACAGAAGATTCCCATCCCACTCTCCAAGCAAAACTCTTCAAAGAGGGACTACTGGCTTTTTTTTTCCTGGAGTTAGTGACTGACTTGTTCATTAAGCTGGAATGGAAGAAATGTTATGCTCAGCAGGGTTGCCTCTCTTGTGATGCCCAGCTACAGATTAGTTATCCTCCTGTAGGTCAGTTGTCCTGTTACCCTAACTACCCTAAAAGTACCTGATCCCATCTGATTTTGGAAGCTAAGGAGGAACAGGCTTGGTTAGTACTTGGATGGGAGACCTCCAAGAAATACCAGGTTCTCTATTTCATAGGAAGAACTGGTAAAAGCACCTCTGAATATTAACTGCCCAAGAAAACCCTATGAAATTCATGGGGTCTCCATAAGATGACAGGCAATTTGATGGGACATACACACACACAGTTGCCAGCAATATGAAATTGCATTTGTTGTTTGTTTATCCATCATATTTATTGGCAACCTCTCCACCAAGTGCTTAGGGCAATATGCAGAGCTAATAATCACAATTAAAGCAATTCAAGCAATATAAAAACAAAAAAGTGGCAACAAAAGAAAGTGGCTGGGACACAATCCAACCAATGCCAAGCTCTTTTTAATCATATTAATTAAGCAAGTGCTGAATAGTACAATCCCATTTATGTAAACTCGGAAGCACACGCTAATAAACTCAAAGTGACTTCATCTCAAGAAACTGCAGAAAGGACGGCAGCCTAAATGTGGGGTCAATGATTGTTCAGCTTGCTTAGCTTTTGATGGACTGTGCCCATTTTATCAATAAATCAATTTGCTTTAAAATATATATACAAATCCAAAAGGACTAAAAACTCTGCAACCCTGTGGACACTTACTTCAGAGTAAACCACATCTACCTGCAATGAGACAGAGTCCTTTAGCATTACCAGATTAGACAAAATCTATAACCAGAATCAATGTGTACATAGCTGCCCATAGAGGGAATGATTTACATTTGAGATGAGAACAAGGCATATCACAGGAAAACATGTAACATGACAAAGGGTTTATTAAAAAGCATGCCATTGAGGACACCTCCAGCAATGCTGGTCGAAGGATTCAGGGAGCTGAAATCCACACAGGTACCTTTTTCAAACTCTGTTGCTTTCTAATCAAGACGGTGCTGGCCCAGCCAGATAGGTACCACTGTAGGTAAGCTACCATGTTTAATAAAAGACCATTTCAATTAAAAATCTTGTTACCAAATAAATATTTTGTTGGAGAGTATGAAACTTCAAAACACTGGAAGCCTTGCACAGCAAGGTCTATTAGCTGACCCAGCCTTAAGCAACACCATGTCACAACAAGCCATTAAATGCTTGAGAATAGATGCTGGAGCATATCCATCCTTCCAGAAGACTTCTTAATCACTCCATATTTGCCTCTTGCTAACCAGAGTTGACTTTCCATCATCCCTGTCCACTGCTCTATACTGGCTGTAGCTGATGGAGCTGGATTCCTGCATTATATGTTGAGCATCAGGTAGGGGAAGACTGGTCTAGAGAAATGCATTCATGCAGTAACAAACAGGCCAATTGTTTATGTTGCTACAGATTCATTTAAAAAGAATCATTTCATCTCATGCTGCCTTTCAGGTTTCTTAGCCTTACACAGTGCAGCTCTGTCTCCCTGAATCCTTTTAAAGTTGCACACTGCAATGTTAGTAGAGATCATGCAACATATGCTTCTTATTCTCCTGGGGGGAGGGAAGCAATACTTAGACTCAAGTGCCTGACACTGCAAAAACCAAAAGATATAGTCATGCAGCTTGAATCAAGCTATCATTGAAAAACACCTAAAGCATGAAAGAAGAGCAAAACTACAGTGTTGTCCATATCCAGATTACAGCATCAGTCCTGCATATACGTAAATCCCACTTTTGAGTATCCTCGGTTGTGTTGTAATTTCAGAGCTTGAACCCTTTCCTCATTAACAGTGAATGTTCGATGCCAGTTTTGAGTGTGAATATGTGTGTGTGTGTGTTATTACACAGACATTAAACCACATTCCAACTGTGGCCCATATTCCATAAGGACCTTATCCCTACAGTGTCACATGTGTGCCATTTCCCATCCACTTTTAACCAAACGTTAGCATTCAAAACAGCACATACTAGCTGAAAGCACATCGATGCCTATTCTGAAAAGCCCTCAAAATATCATCTGTTTGGTGGGGTCAGAAGGAAAGTGAGCGCAACTCTCCGAGTGAATACCTGGATTTACCTTCAAGTAAGAAGTGACAGCATCCTTCATTGCCCAAGCATGAGGAGAATAGGGAAGGGGAAAATATCCCTCCCTTAAAGCTGGCTCCAATGCAGAGACTGGGGAAAGACAGCTGCAGCTGAGGCTGAATGCTCTGTCTCAATGAAGAAATGAGGAAGAAAAGAAGGAGAAGGAGAAGCAGCAACAGCTTCTTTCTTCAGGATGGCAGATCCGTCAGCAAAAAGGCAGAGTAACATCCACGGCTGGAAGGAACTGGAAGAGTGATAAGCTCAGTCTGAAATCTGAAACTGCAGGTTGGGCCAGTCATATATAAACACACACACACACACCCATTCACTCTCTTCTCTCACATACCACTCCTCTGGGCTTCCTCAGTAATAGGAGGCAGCCCTCTAGCTGTTTCACAGAAAACTAGAGAATCTGCATAATATTCACCACAGGAAAGAGAGAGACAGGGACCTGTCAAAAACTAACCCACTCGGGCTTTTCATCAGCATGCAGTCTGTAATGAAAGAGGATTAAATGCTCAAGCAAGGGACGTAAATCTGACACAATGTGTCTTCCCACTTCAGAGTTATTTTTGGAATATTCTTACATTGTTCAGAGAGAGGTGTTATTCCAGAGAGTGTAAAAATGTAAGATGAGAAAAGAAACATCCACGCAGAGGCTCTTCATTCAGCACTCTTGATGCAATTTACTAAGAGGAGGGACTAGATCTGGCTGTCTAAATCATTAATCAAACTACTTGATTTATTGACATGTTAAATCTTCAGGTATAATTGCAAGACAAGCGCCATTGTGGTGCAGTGGTTTGAGTGTTAGACTTTATGACTCTGGAGACCAGGGTTCAAATCCCCACTCAGCCAGGATACCCACTGAATTACACTCTCAGCCTCAGGGGATGGCAATGGCAAAAAAAAAACTTTGAAGAAACTTGCCAAGTGATGGGTTAGGCTTAGGGTTGCCATAAATCAGAAACAATTTGAAGGCACACAACAAAAACAACAACAACAACTGTAAGGCTTGAGAATACTTCACTCAACTTTGTTTAGTGGTACCTTTTGTAAGATTGGTAATAGATTTTTCAAAAGAGGTTGATGACTTCAGTTACAATGTGATCCTATGCATGTACTATTAGGATACACTATCCTAATCAGAAGTAAGTCCCATTGAGTGCAATGGTGTTATAATAGTGCATATGGGATTGCAGCCCTACACTGGAATTCTATGTATATTCACTCTGAAGTAAGTCCTGTTGTATTCAATAGGACTTACTTCTAAGTATGCATTGAACTGCCGCCCTATCTGATCAATAGTAATTTGCTTAATTTATTAAGCAATTAAATCACTGAATGTGACTTTGTGACCCAACCCGTTCACGAATTACAAAATCAATATTCATATACATCTCTTCTTATGTTCAGAAGAGGTAAAAATTTGGACATAGAGAAAAAGTACCACCAGAAGTCAATAGGTCAGCTGCTGATCATACACAAGTGGTATTTTTTCCTCTTCAAAAGGACCTCGCCAATCTATAAATTCCAGATTCCATAGGATGTTGTCACAATAATTGCATAGTGTGAAAGGGCCCAAAACCTTTCTTGGGATCTAGTTGATCAAAATCTTTCTTGGGATCTGTCTCTGGAATGCAGTGTTTCCAAACCTTATCCCTGCTGTCAATGGAAGGGAGAAAGCTACAGGTACCTTTCTGCCTGCTACTTTCTGCAAATAGAAGTAGGCTGTCAAGACAGCCTTCCTCATCATTAGAATCCCTCTCCTTTGACAGATAAACCTCTCCCTCCATCTCAATCCCTCCCCAGTGTACATAAATCCTTCAGGATTTTTAAAAATAGATAGGATTATGGACAGTTTGACTGGCCAGCCTAAGACATTCTTCTGCTGGTGGCATTGGACAAGATAGTGCCCACCTCCCAATCCATGTACAAAAGCTGACTGAACTGGCACTGGATTCTTTCCTCAGAACTCTTGATGAGTGTTCTCCATCATACCTCACAGGAAGCTAATGGCTTTTTTGAGAGAATAGCACAGTGGTTAAATGCCTGTACTGCAGCCACAAGCTTGTGAGTTCAATACCAGCCAAGGGGCTCAGGCTTGACTCAGGCTTGCACCCTTCTGAGGTCACTAAAATGAGTACCCAGCTAATTGGGGGCAATTAGTTTACACATTGTAAACCACTTAGGGAGTGCTTACCTTCACTGATAAGCGATATAGAAATGTACTTCCTATTGCTATAATGGTGTAGTGGTTGTCTGACACACTTTTCCTCCAATGCCTTTCTGTTACCTCATTTCATCTGTCATCTAAGGTGAATATTCAGCTTACTTTGCCTAATGGCAAAGCCTTGCCAGATCTGCTTTTAAATCATGCTTAAAAGAGTTAATAAATTTAGGATTCACAAAAGAGTTGCATATGATAAAGATTGCAAATTGCTGTTGAAATTGATAAAACCCTCCTCCAAACCTTCAAAGATGTGGGCATAAGTTCCTGAAGCTGCAACAAGGAGACATTCCTTGTTGAATCAGTACAGGAGATGGATCTCCCATCCCACGTACTGCAAGAGTAGTTTCACTCTATAGCATTGTAAGGCACATCAGCCAGATTGGCCTAATCTAGTTTACAGTTGCATTTTTTAAATGTTTGCTGATTAGCTGTGTGTTCTCTCTCTCTCTCTCTCTCTCTGTTTATATTGTGACTGTAACCTGTACCTGGTTGCCTAACAAACTTGATTGATCACTTACAGTTTGAAAGGTTTATTTCTGTCCTGCTTTCAATCTTCCTACATTGGTCATGTTACATGACCAGGTCCTTCAGGGGACTAAGAAAATGACTTAAAGGTCAGAATAACAGCCTGCTCATGATAAGGGCAAATATGTCATAGAAGAAAACAGTATGTCCCTTTGCTTCAATGGCATCACTAGGGGTTGCAGAGGATATGTACTGCACCATGTGGCACCATCAGAGAGAGTGACACCAGGCAGGAATGAGGTGTCCCAAGGCCCCTCCCCTGGAAAGAAAGAGGGGACTCTTCTTGATGTGCTGCTCCTCTTGGAGGTGGTGAAGCCATGGGCCTTTCTCTCTGCACCCCCCATGCCACAGCCTTCCCTAACTGTCTACCATTGTTTTCAAGGGAGGATTGTTTGCTCTGACTTCCTCTTTCCTTGATGGTAGAAATCTTTTGTAATTTAAAAAAATGTTCTTGCTGAGGAGGCATCCTGTTTTTGCTATCTCAACTGGGTGTGGGATGGTGGCAGCAGAATACTGGGTTTCCCAAGCTTCTTCCATATCTGCACCTTCATCCTAGGAGGTCCATGGGGATGACATCATGAGTTACTACACTGGATGACACCAACCCTAGTGACACCACATCTTTGCACAGGCATATCCTTTTAGATCCAGGGATTACAGTAGAAAGATTTTTCATTGCATTTCTGCTTTCACACAAGGAAACCACCAGGGTTTATGTATGTTAAATGCAGTCAATTCCTCTTCCTCTAGTATGATGGCAGATGCATTAGCATCAAACATTGATGTCTTTAAATGGATGCCAGGTTTTATCCAGTACAAGGAGCTGTAAGGATAAGGGGTAGACCTAGAAGCAATATCTATAAAACTACCATTTCTCCTCACAAGGCATTACTTGAAAAGGTCTCAAGCTTATTAAATGGGAGCCATCATTTTGGACACACCCAGATGGTTTTAATTTTAGGAAGCAGGGACGCTGTTTCTGTTTCCATCGTCTACAGCCCAGATGTATAGGATAATTCAGCCCATATCAGATCACATGTTGGACATGGACTAGCACAACCTGTGCATGAGCAAGTGACTCTTTATGTTTAAAAATGTCCTAGGTGTTGTAGGCTATATTTCAGAGGAAGGAACTGGAAAACCACCTGAGTATTCCTTGTATTAGAAAACTCTACAAAATTCATGGGGTCACTATAAGTTGACAGGTGATCTAAAGGCACACCTAGGTGATAATATTCAAATATATAGCCATGTTAGTCTGTAGAATCAGTATGTAGAGAGATCTTGTAGCACCTTTGAGAGTAACTAAAGAAAGAAGTTGGCAGTATGAGCTTTCGTAGACTTAAAAGTCTACTTCCTCGGATGCATTTGGGTGATAATACTTAGCTTTTCCTCAGACATTTCACATTCTTTCACTTGTGTGCTGTGGCAGCAAAGTAAAAGCATGGAAAATGGTGATGATGTCACAGTTACATCCTGCAAGCCCGCTGTTTGCAAGGCTCTGCATTAAATGTTGCAAGGCTCTACATTGAATATTCAGGTGTGTATATCCTTCAAGGAGCTCAAGGCAGCAGCTGGGACCCTTCCTTTTGATTTTATCTTTACAGTATAACAGGGCACAAGTTAGTCTCACCTAGGGAAACATGTTCAAGTAAACTTCATGGGTGAGTAAAGAGCTCCCTGGATGAATCAGTTAAACCCAGGGCCAGCCCTACCATTAAGCCAGAGGCAGACAAATTCATTCTATCCAGAGACTATTTTTCTGTCCCATGACCCTCCTTGGGACCACATGGATTATCCAAAAATGCCAAAATGAAAAAAAAAATAGTGAAAATTTAGAACTGGCATAGTCCACTTCTGGTTTTGAAAAGAATGCATTTTTGTTAATGCTCTATAGCAGGGGTAGGCAACCTTTCCTCCTCCGAGGGACTTCAGCTCCCAGAAGCCTCAGTCATGTTGGCCAATATTTCCATGTTGGCCAATAGCTCCTGGGATTCTGGGAGCAGAAGTACCTCGGCCCTTAAAGGGGAAAAGTTGCCTACGCCTGCTCTATAGTGTGGGAAGGCCATAGGTAAAGGCTGAAAAACTAGCCTTGAGAGCCACCTGTGACCCCCACAGCTACACTTTGCCTATCCCTACCTTAGGCAGATAAAGAAGACTACCTCAGGAAACAAATTTTAGGGAATAGGAGTGGCAACATCTGGCCATTTCTTTCAAGCCACTGCCCCAGTATTCCCTGGCCATACCACTCTGTTGGAGGGCAGGGGTGGAGGGATGAGGGCAGTGCCTCCCCAGAAAAGAATTCTTCCCCTCCCCACTAATTTTTTTTCTTTAGTTGTCAATTTACTAATACTGCAGTAACTTAACATTTCAGTTGAGCTTTTAGAAATACACTTTCAGCTTCCAAAGAAAAGGGACAAAGTTACCAAGGGAATGTGGCACAGCAAACAGATGAGTTCAAGGTGTGAATAAGTTACATTGTCACACTCTTTGCAATGCTAGAACTGAAGGAAGGGGAGTGAAGGAAAATTTCATTTGTGGGGACAAAATTCTTGTTTGGGGAGGCAATGCCCTAATTTTACCCCTTAGGGGTTTGCATTCAGCAGGTACATCTCTGATGCTGACCCCGCACAACACTGAAGTAAAATTCAACTGCCCCAGGCAGCATCTATATATGGAATGAAAGTGCATCTCTTTTGTCTTTCAGCTGAGTTAGGAAAATACCTAGGGCCTGCCTTGGGTGCAGTATCTCCCCACATCAGCTCTCAGTAATGTCCTGCATTCAGCCCTCAAATCACTTTGTACACAAAGCTACAAAACAGAACACACACACACCATTTGTTACAGGATAATCAAAGAGCATAATTCATATCCTTCATGTTCCCATTATTCAGGATGAGTGCATACAACAGGATATTCAACTAGAGAAAATCAGAGCCAGCTGGCGCATACACCATACTGTGTCATTTTAACTAGGACTTGCTTTCAAAGTTCTGCTAAAATTATTTGACATTTATTTTCAGCCAAACAGCAAGCATGCCTCCTCCATGGGTTTGCATTCAGAAATCAGATGGAGTTTATCCACAATCTGGCCATTGTA